TTGAAATATAATTATTATGTGTAATTTTGTACAATTAAAATTTTTCGGTGTGCAAGACTTTTGTCCAGGTAGTGTATATTAAAAAAATTATTAATTAACAATAAACAAAAAAAATGAACAAAGATCAATAAACGCAATGCATATCTTTGAAAAAATTGAAAATTCATCAGCAAAAATAGTAATTAATAGTGGAGCAGTTAGCAACATAGTATTTTAAATAATTTGAAGAAATAAATTGAAAAAATTCAAAGATCTAGTAATATTAATTTAGTTAAAATTAATGAATATAAAGCAAGAGCACTTGGAGAAGTAATCAACTTATCAATTACTATCAGTTCTCAAGAATTAAAAATAGATGCTTTAGTTACTGAAAAAGATAATTATAATCTTATACTTGAAAATAATTGGATACATTAACATAAAGCAATAATGAATTGAAAGAAGAATATAATTCAATTTGAAGATAATTAATTAAAAATTGAGATATTAGAAACAATGAGTTAGAAACTGATTAATTTATAATTGTAGAAGATAACATATAAATTAAATTATTTGATGATAATGATAAAGAAAAATTATCTGAAAAAGCACATAAAACAGATGCTGAATTTGATCTTAAATATCCAGAAGTAACACTATTAACAGTTTAACCAAAAGAAATGATTTTAATAGATTCTCATATTATAATAGAAGTACCAAATGAAACTTATTATTAATTAGTTTCTAGATCTTCATTAATATGCAAAGGAATAGAAATCAATACTGGAACTATCAATACTGAATATACTAAAAACATTGGAATAATATTTATCAACAATTCTAATACATTATATATAATTTAGCCAAATGAGAAAATCACCAAAACAATATTTATGTCATTAGTAAAAATCTCAAAACTCAAACTAGTATCTTCTCGTAATGGATTAAACCAAACTGAAGATTTTGGATCATCAAATAAAATCAAAGAAGATGAATATAAATTAAAAGAAAATGAATTCAAATATAAAGAAGAAAATTTGGAAGACCAATCATTACTTCAAATATTTGAAGAACAAGATGAAAAAGTCATATTGGACTTCAAGATAAAAGAAAATCATACTCAGTTTAAAAGCAAACAATTCTATCACTCAATATTTCTTGAAATGCTTGAAAATGAAATCACTAACTTTGACAAATATTCATATTACAATGATAAATTAACTAGTACTTGTCTAATTTGTCAAGAAGATGATTGGTTCTATAAACAATTAAAAATAGTACCAGAATCAATATATAAAATCAAAGAAGAAGATAAAATGAAATTAGACAAAAACAAATAGATCAATTAATAGAAGAATATAAAAATCTATTTAATATTTCTGGATCTGGTAAAGCAAATACCGTTCAATATGAAATTAATACTGGAGATAGTTTATCAATAACATTGAAATCATATTATAAAAGATCACCATTGGAAAGAGAATTCATAAAGAAAGAAATTGATCAAATACTTAAATAAAATATTATTACATCATCAGATAACTTTTGGTCAGTACTAGTAGTAGTTGCAAAGAAAAAAGATGTAAAATTTAGCTAATATTTATCACTTTTCTAATAAAAGAATACAAGAAAAAAAACTGCTCTCTGAAAAAGATACACATGATTTATATATATACATGTACATTATTGATTGGTTTTTATAATCATGTAATCCAAAAATATGTTGAATTTTTGTGTTACACTTTGATCTTGCAATTTAATTGGTCATTATCTCTGACATCATCAAAATATTGTCACGTGCTAGTTAAGTATATTTTAAGAATAAATAATAAATTGTTTTAGAAAACATTCGAATGATAATATTAATTGTGCGCTAAAATTACAGAAATTAAGTCCCATTAATAAATATCATATAGCAACCACCATAACTATTACTATTTCCTTTCAAGTGACCACGATAAACACCAAAAAAAAGAATATTATAACCGCGAATATCTTTATCATCAGCCACCGATTTGAAGAAATGCTCGCATAGTATTTTAGCAATTCCTTTTGTGCACCCTCAACGTGCGTTTGTATGTCATCTGTATTCGCGTCAATTCTAACGTCAATCCAAATTGATTAAATTTTATTATTAATTACTAACGGATCAAGCATAGAAATAGAGAAATATAGAAAAGAAAAGAAAATTTACCGTTGAACAGTCTCCCGTTGTTCGGCCACCATCGTCGCCAACTGTTGAAAAATATTTCCTAGTTCCGCTATTGTTGATTCAATAGATTCAATTGCTGTTGCTCGACTTTCGATATAATTGTCCTGTTATGGTTTATAATATGTATCTAGTATACACAATTTACACGTAATAATATCAATAATAAATATTAAATAAAAACCTGTTGCTCAATTAGTTGTAATTGCTGTGCTTGACCCCCAGACGACATATCCAAAGCGAGAAAATCTCGATTTGTTTGGTCATTACGTCGTTCCATATTATATAACGGTGATGCAGCTAAGGAACATAGGGTAATTGCGTAAATATTATATTTATATGCAAAAAATTTAAAATCTGATAGGCAATATTTACCAGATGGAATATTTGCCTGTTGCGAACTAGAAAACATGAATTGTTCCTTTCTATCTTTACTGGCCTTCATATTCTAAATTTCAAATAATTAACATTACTTAATCGAATCACAAAGATTCTCGAATCCCACAAAAGAAATGTACCTGTGTCCTTATTTCCAACACATCCTTGAAGCTCATACTTGTATTCGCCAGTTTAGACTGCAACATTACCACCACATTGGAGGAATGTTCGTCAGCCTGCTTATTGTGTCGTTTATGTTCGCGTACGTATTGTTGGAGAAGGGCTATTTGTTTATTCAACTTTGCAATATCTTGTTTAATTATGTACGTCAATTCCTATCAAAGTATATAATTTCCTGGTAATTAGAACAAAAAATTCAAGTGATCAAAGCCAACATAATAACGATAAACAACGAGCGCCTTACACTAATCTCCACGGGCCGATCATCAAACAACGTCTTTCGTTTAGCCACTTGTTTAAAAATAAAGGAGATCTTGAAATTCTGAGATATTAAAATTTCAATGAAAACAACAAACATTTTCAAGTACATAAATCCTTGTTTGATATATTAGAACCTACATTTTGTCAATTTCTGCAGCTTTGCCGCTGTAACATTAATGTCTCTACCAATTGCAGCTGCCATCCTTGCAAATTCACTCTTGTTCATCCTTTCGTTGCTATTTTCAGTCTTGGTTTCGGCCAAAAGCGGTCGTCTATGTTCTAGATTTCGTGCATGATAAGAACTACCACCACCACCCGAGGCTCGAGATCTTATAGATTCAACCGTCGCGTGAAATTCCGAAGTTCTGTCTTTTACTGACATTGGATGAGTTTTTATGATTATTTGGAAGTATTAGGTTTATATTGCTCGGAAAAAGTACAAGAAGAATTGTCAAAAAATCAACTTTTGAGAAAATAGTGTGAAACAATGTGATTCTATAACATAATTATACTCTACCGAGCCAATCAAATTGACCACTATTTTCGAGTAAACAAACCTCCACAACTCAAATTGACCACTATTTTCAAGTAAACAAACCTCCACAACTTACGCCAATGAGTCAAAATCCAGAAGCCCAACAGCCTCCAGCTGAGGGCGAAAACAATCCTTTCTTGGCCTCTACCTCTCGAGTTCCTCATATGTTCAGCAATGAGCGGCTTAGAAACGAAGACAGTGGCGAAACTGAAAGATCGTTTCGCGGAACTAAGGTATCACTATATAATTTCTGTATTTGTTCTAATTTGGACGTGTTTTTCTAATACATTTTTAAATTTATACTCGATAGAGATCGCGGCGTGACTCCATTGGAAGCTATTCTGTTGTAACGTCTGCTTTAACAACTCCTCTGTCTTTGGCTCAGGACACTTTTTTCACACCAGGCACAAACCTGACTAATAGTAATTAATTGCATTTAATAATTTGTTAACCGTGAAGCAAGCTTTCTTTAGTTTTTTAATTTCTTATCGTACGTTATTCTTTAGGGACTAATCTCACCGCCATACAATCCTTTGATGTAAACTCAAAAATCGAAAAGTTACTTGGTGAGCGCGACGAAGCGAGTAGAAAAGTACATGTGTTGGAAAGACAACTGTCAAATAAAGAATTTCAGTATAATTTAGATAAGAGAAAGTGGGAGAGATTACAAGATAATCTAAAGATCCAAATACAAGAAGTTGAACTCGAAAAAGAAGTACAATTCAAAATCTTACAAATTTCTCTTGTAAAAAAGGTCGAGGATATTAATTTAATTATTATTTTGGTAAATCAAGTCTCTTCAACACGAAAATGATTCCCTCCGCGAGCAAAAACGACAGGCACTAGAGAGTGAGAAGAGAGCCGAAGAGGCTAGATCGCAGATACAGGTTCGTTTTATAAATGCGGAATTTCTTACAATTCGAATAGATAAACATATTTTCTATCATCGTGGAAATCAGGAACAACTAATACGAATAAAGAATGAACTAGCTGAAGAAAGTCAAAAAGTGTCGCAGAAATCCACCGAGCTTCAGTATGCGGAGCAGAATGTCAGGGAGGCAAATCGAAAGATTCACGAATCGGAAAGAAAGGCGTCGGAGCTTGAGGAACAAATGAACCATACAACATTTAAGGTAAATTTTTCTTTATTTTGAAATTTGATAGAATTTGCAATAATCAATATTACATTTTTTAGCTCCAAGCTCAAGAAAAATTGGCAAATTTTCGACAAGAACAAATCGTCGAAAAAGAGAAAATGCTTGATCGTTACAATCTCGCAGCGTCACAAGTGGAAGGCATCGAAGCATTAAAGAAAAAATATGAAGGTAAAAAACATGATTTTTCTCGGCAATAATTTATTATCTATATATTTTATCTGAATCATCCGTTGTTTAGATCAGTTAACATACGCGGCCTCCTTAAAAGAACAGTTAAGGAAAGAAAAAGAGTGTAGTCCACTAATTGTGGGACTGTGTCTGGAAAAAGAGTCTTTGCGTCGACAAGTTGAGGAGTTGAATCGACGCTCTGAATTAATGGCCGATCTGCAAGTCGAAAAAGCCAAATTAGAACAAGATACTGTTCTCTGGTAAATTTTATGATTTTTTCTAATTCAATTCTTTTAATTATTGTTTTATAGTTTCGATTGTCTTCTTATTAAGGACCACTGTACTTGACAAGGATAAACTCGGCTCACCTTATAAGGTTTCACAAAATATAAAGAATTATCAGATCGAGATTCAGATGTTGGAAGCAAGAACGCGTTTATATGAAGAATTTCTCGAAAAAAGAAGCGCGGTGATTGAGTCGTATGAAGTGAAGGTTTGTGATGAGCATTTATTTTCTTTTTTTTTACATTCTTGTTAATTATAATACAATTTATTTTCAAACAAAATGATAAAAGATTCGTCAATTGGTAAATGAAAATTATCAGTTGTATCAGTTGTTCGAAAAGGCTAAAGGTAAATTATCTGTTGAAGCGAAAAGGGTTTGGGAAGCTCTGGTAAGTGAAATGATTAATATGATATTTGTATTTCCGTGTTATCGGATAAGAAAAGACACTGACTAAATGGTTGCACTATTTAGAGAACGAGTCACCCAGATGTAACAACCGAGGAAAATCCTAATAAGTGGAAAGAAGAAATGTTTCCATTATTTCAACAAATGATAGGAAATTATCGTCGGACTGTCGAAGCTGCTATCAATGCCATCAAATTGACCAATAATACATCAGCTGCGGAACAAGAACAAGAGTCTACTCAAGTTCCGGCGCATTCTGCTGAGCTTAAACGAGAATATAGTACGCTGCAGCAAGGTATGCACTATTGATTATCTAATCATCTACAATTGCATTTTCTATGCTTCATGTAACATAAATACAACTTACTGACATTTGTATCTTGATATTATTTAAGCTTCCGAAGGATTACAAAAAGAAAACGCGTCATTGAAAATAGAGATTGCGACGCTTCAGAAACAATTGGCAATATACGAAGAAACCTTGGAAAAAGAGAAAGAAACCGCTTTAATCAATGCGAGATTGTTAAAGGATGCGCAAAAAAGTATGTTTAGATTGACACATTCACATTTTTTAAATACTGTAATTTGTTTTTTGGTAACTGTTGAATTTTCTTAGCGGTCAAGGAATTGCAGGTGGAAAATGAAAAATTGAAGACAGCTTTCACCTCCTTGGAGAAAGAAATGGGTAATTTTGAAACGTTAGTGCAACGACGAGAATTCGATGAGCAAATGAATAGGGTACGTTGTTTATCAACCCATTACATTGATTTTATCTATCATTAGAATTAAGCACTAGAAGTTACTCTGTAGGTCTTGCAACTCGACGATAATCCAGAATCTCAATTATTTGCAGAAAGACAATCAACTTTGGATAATCTACGCGCTGAAAACAAGCAACTTCTTCAACAAATAAAACGACTAAAGAAAAAATTATCAAAGTCCGCCAACAACCAAAATGAAGGAGACGACGTCACAGATGAGACAATTATAGAAGATAATGAGTTGAATGACGACGATAATATTGATGAAGGTTTCATACCAGCGCAAAGCTTCAAAAACTTAGAAGAAGAAAATAAAAAGTTACGAGAACAAATCGATGCAAAGGATACCAGATTCACGAGATATAAAGAGGTATAACCATTTCCCATCCCATTCACTTATTCACTTTTTTGTTACTCAATTTATTAATTATATAAATTTCTCTAGCTTTGGAGCGTAAAATTCAAAGAATACAAAGAATCCGTCTATCGACTTCTCGGATATCAATTTGACCTTTTGGAGAATGAACGTGTTCGATTAACGTCCTCATATCGCCAGGACCAATCATTTCTGTTTAATAATCTAGATATGCGACTTATTGGTGCTGATCAAACTAACTTCTCCAATTTGTACCAGTTTTGGGTCACGGAACGAAATTCGATTCCTGGTTTTTTGAGTAGTTTGACATTGGAGCTTTATGAAGAAACTACACGTGGACGTAATGCTGGGTGGATCGAACCGAGTGGTATTAATAATTCATAATGTTCATATTCATTTTTGGCTCGGAACATTTTTGGCTCGGAAAAATGTCATGATTTAAGGTGTTTCATAATTGTATATAAAAATGAATTTCTTAGCATAACTTGAAAAATTCCACAGGCAACCATTCATATCACGGATCGATGCAAATTCCACATCCCTTACATTTGAATAACTTTCCCGTTTAGTTTTTGATCAATCTACTTGCAATAATTACATGTTTTACTTGTCCAGGCTTCTGAGACAAAAATGATCTTTTTTCAAGCTCTTCAGTCTTTCGAGCATATTACATTAAAAAAAGATAATATCAAAATTATATACAAGATTCCAGATAAGCTTGAATTCTGCAAAAGGACTTTTTAAACTAACAATAAAACAAAGTCTTTCACGCACGATCCTTAGTTTAATAGTAATTATCATTTGGTTACTTGTCAAATTAAAAAGAAATAATTTCAACTGACTTTCATAACATTATACATGCCCACTATTCGAATTGTGATGCATTATTTTAGATCGCTTGACTTTCATAACATTTTTATTATATATATATACCGGAAATGGATGGAATCAGAAAGAGACGCATAAAATGAAAATTTTTTGGTAAGACTAAAATCAAGTTAATGATGACAAGCCTTTGTTTTATTTGATAATATCATTTGTGTAATTGCATGATTATGTAGCATCTTTATATAGATCATTTTTTAATCATGCGAATATGATGCTTACCAAACCCTCACTCTTCCCAAGTGATGCCGCTCTCGGGAAAATTTGTGTGCGCAGTTTGTGTTCTGCAGCTTGCCAAGACTAACTTCAGTCAAAGCATGGATCCAATTTAAGGGCTCTGACTTTCCATAAGGGACCGTCAGGCGCACCTTAGCGTTGCAGACTGCTTTTTTTCTGGCACAGTTTGGTCCAAACCCGCTCCCCCACAAACTGACGCCGCTCACGGACAAATTCGTGCGTGTTCGCTTTAAGAAAAATTCAAAAAGGAATTGCTTTATAGCTTGCTTTCTTTAATATAGTTTTTATCACCATATTATAAATTGGCTTTGCACTATCCGTCTATTGTTGTACTGTGTAGCATTTGGATAAACTCAAATATCGAGAAAACATGTTAGATTGCTTTTCCATTCCTTATGGAGATAAAACCTTTGTGCTTCTTGTTATTTGCATTGTCATTGGTACTTAATAACTCTTCAGAGATATATCTTTGGAAAGTTCAGCTGTAAGAATTATGATCCTGTAATCAAAAGTCCTGTTCATTTCCAAGTCAGAATGAATGATTCGTTTCTGTGATCAACAAATTTTTGATTGTCTTGATGGTTCGAGTAAAAATCGCAAATTTTGCCCAATCAAGTAATGGACAGATCTGAACCGTTCGTCACAACTTAGAAATAAACAGGGCTAAAGGCAAAGCAATAAAAATGAGTTTGGTAAGTAAGCGTTCTAATGAAAAAGTGAAGAAGGTGTTTGCATGATGAAAGTTTTTCAGTTGTCATGTAAAACAGGGTAAAAAAAGAGCGAGAGGAGGGAGTGAACGAAAAGGAAAGGTGTAACTATATAGCTTCAGTGATAGCATATATGGATAATGTGCAGCCAAATTCATCCTCAGTATATCGATACAAACCTTTTCACAGAATAATATTGACGATGTTTGGTCCATCGCACACTTGCCATCTCGACAGACTATGAAAAAGCGAGCGTTATTTACTGTCGATCATAGTGTTTAAATAACTTATATCGACCGATCGAAACATTCAGTATTCTTAGAATTTTCTGTTCGAGTAAGGAATTATATATATATGTACCAACGATATTGGCAAATGAAAGAAAATTAGTGCCTTACATTGTGATATCAGAATATTTATTATACAGTCACGTTCTTTATAGTGGACCTCCTTTGTAGTGGAAACTAATTAAATCTCGATATGGTAGATTAATATTTAATATATTCTGTAGATTTACTAATAAACTAAATAGATTTTTTGATATACTATAAAGAGAGTCACTGTATACTTAAAAACTATTCAGGTTCTGAATCTCTAGGGGGTATGTTCTATCTAGGTAAAACCGATCGGTTCGGTAATGCTTTTAAACACAAGAGGAGAAAAGGCAAAGTCCATTTGTCGAAAAGAATTTTTTCTGCTAACATTGGAATATCATCTGGTGAAATTATTATGCCAAAAAATATACTTTGTTCGTTGTATTTTCGCATCATAATTTATCAAACTAGGTATTTTTAATAGTAAATTTCACTTAAATTAATTTTAATTTAAACATTTATTTCTGATGCAGTGTTGAAATAAATACCAGAATCTTTAATTTCATTTATTTAAAACTCCCAAAAACTTAAGCTAAATTGTTCTAACTTGAAATTATGGCTTCTTTCATCTATTATCTGAATCGGCTAAAGGGGCGTATTTGGAATGTCTGGTCGCGAAAGCCCAGTTCCTCGATGTCACATTACCGGTGCTCCACGCCCTTTCCACGCGCAAAATATTGAAATCAACCATGGACATTAAGTTCTGTAATTATTGAATATATTCATATTCAAATTTATCTCAATAAGCATATAGAAATATTTAAATAAATTTTATATCCGAAAGGCAATTTATGCATAGATGCTTTAGTTGGATCGAACTGCAATTCAAGTTCAAATTTTGTGCAAACTCTGTGTAACGATATGTAATATGTACATGTATTATTTTAGCCGAAGCAGAACTACATTCAAAAAGCCCATCCGCTCACTGTTTCTTAAGAATTTGAATGTTAATTCATTCGAAGTATTTTTACCTTTTGTGAAGCTTATTATCATGAAATCTGGGTTGATGTTGATATTAGTAAATAAGTGTAGTTAATAATTTATCATGAATAATAAGGAAGAGGAGTATTTGTCAATGGTATTGATTTGTACCTCAAAATTTATTCTATATACATCCGGAACATCATTTTATATACAAAAATATTATCTCGATATTGATTCTTCCTGGATTTGAGTTCGATCCGGTTGATGTTGGAGTAAAGGACTTCAGGAGCTGTTTGACTATTTTAAAGGTGAACTGTTGAGAACCACCTGTTTTGATAATCTTTTAAAAACATCCTTCTGGATGTATGAAAAGTATTGTGGATTATTTGGAGTGTTTATCTCAGTATAGATTGTTTCTCCATCTTCGATTCATGCATATGGTCATTTATTTCATGTATTGGATTCACGTAGAACGAGATTCGAATAAGCGATTCTTGGACAAAAAAACTTGTAGCATCATTATACTTTGGTTATCCAAGAATCACTTATTTATTTTCATCGCACTTGGGATCACAAATTGCTTCTCGAAACAAAAATCCAGGCTTCACATGATTCGTGAAAGCAAGTGAATTCGACAGAATGTGGATGACACCAGAGTATGTTTGGTTTTTTTGTTATTAGCTGAATTTATTTCTCGTTATGATATACTATACTAAATTCTTTAGTTATATGAGTATATTATATTCGACGCGTCACGCGCAGCAGATATTATTGCTATTATTATTATTGTTGTATTATTATTATTATTATATTATATTACCTATTGCATTTATATATGAACGATTTATAAGAATGATGATGATAATAATAATAATAATAATAATAGTTATAATAGTTATAAAATTGGTTTCTTCTTTCGGAGGTGTTTAAATATTAAGAAATCAAACAAATAAAAATTTAAACACTTCAAAAACCGCCGAGCCAACCACGACAAAAACAATGATTCCCAAAGCGACATATCCGACTGGATATTTCTCTGCTTTTTCCCTTCGCTATTTAGTTGGTTTCATATAAAGAAAAATTAGTTTATATAAATGCTTAAATAAAAATAAATATTATTCAAAGAGAACCACTTACTGTAGACGGTTTCACATTCCCACGTTTATGAATATTAGAAGCGTATGCCTGGTTTCGGGCACGAATTGTATGCGAGTTTGAAGAAGGCTTTCCGTTTTTTAGATGTTACAAAGGTGATTATTAGTGAGATGAACGAGTAAAGCGAGCTTTTTCTAAATAACAACACCTACCATTTTTATAGTTCAATTTTTAGCAATAGAAAAAAATAAAAAAAAGTTTGGTTAAAGACTGTTTCAACTCTGTCAAAGGTTGATTGATTATATGTAGAGGGAAGAGGCGATGGTAAAATATGTGTGGCTTTTCTATAGGTTGGTCTTTTATTTACAAAGTGAGCTTTAAAGAAAAGTGATCTGCATTTTATCCTAAAATAGAATAGATAAAAATTAGCCAATAGTATTACATAATATGTTGATTAAACTTCTTGCATATTTTATAATTTTTTATAATTTTTAATTGAGATTATGATTTGGCTTTTCAAATATTTCGATTCTTCTGTTATATCTGTTATTAGTAAGTAATCGTTATTGTGGACGTTTATCATCTTAAATTAGTTCCTGGAAAATAGATTGTGCGAAACATCTCAGACTTTGATAACCACACCAACATTTAATTTCAATCACGTGTGGAAACAGAAATTTTTTGTATATTGATAGTAACTTGCGTAAAGATGATGAAATAATTTTCGATCAAATATATATATTAAATATACTTCAACCTGATCATACTCCGACCCAACAATGGATATTGTTGTTTCTTTTGTTGCTTCTGCACCATTTACACCTCCACCTACACCTCCCAGAAGCACTACTTTACTTAATAAAAACTCATCAAATGGCTCTCGAACACCGCTACTTGCCCCCACACTGTCTTCGGTTCTTCCTGCAGAGGAACCAGACTCAACTAACGTTGTAAATCAGTTTCCGTTACTTGATACTGACACTGCTACGGCGGCCACTACTACAATATCACTAGAATCTCCTTTAACACCAGATTCGAATGTGGCAGAAAATTATACTCAAGATGATAAAGATTTATTATTAAAGAATTCAAATGAGAGCTCTGTAGAAAATAAGAGTGTGTCTACTGATCATACAGAACAAGGACTATTGAATGAAAAAGAAACCGAGCTTGACTCAGGCCAACAAATATCAAATTTTGGGCTATGGGACTATGTAAAAGAGGAAATTACTGCTTTAGATTTTGAACCTTCGGAGGAAATGACCACCGAGAGGGTTACAAACTTTCTGACAATTCCAATAGCGATGGAAAAGGTCGTTTTTTTTGTTTTCGTTTCTTACATTTTTTTTTGTTTTTTACGCTCACTAAACTTCATTCGATTGATTAATAGCTGATGATATTTGGGGTGTGTTTGTGTCTGGATTCATTTTTATACACGTTTACTTTTCTCCCGTTAAGATTTATTATTGCTTTATATACTTTATTTATTGGGATTTTTAGACGTTTAAAAAATGGAATAACAGAAAGGTAATAACAATTATCAATAGGTTAGCTCTCTTCGACTTTTTGATCTTAAATTACACTTTTTTTTTTTAGTTTGACTTTGTCACAACAATGTGATTTATTGAAAGGATTACTAGTTATTTTTGTTTGTCTAGCCCTTCAACGAGTTGATGCAGCCCAAATGTATCATTCGATTCGGGGCCAGGCAGTAATTAAGTTATACGTCATTTTCAACGTTCTTGAGGTAACTATTCGATTTCTTTAATAACAAATGAATATTCGTGAATATCCTCAATCTTTAGAAAAAAATTATTCTCTTAATTATACAGATTCTCGATCGACTTTGCTGCTCTTTTGGCAGCGATATCCTGGACTCGTTATCTTGCAAATCCACTTTGGCGGGTCTATCACTTAATAGTAAAGCAAACCAGCAGTTTCGATTACTGGTATTTTTTGTTCTATCCTTTTTGTATATTTGTATCCTTTTTTTTATATTACTCTGTTTTTATTCGGTTTGTTCAGCAAAAGGAAATAATGCTTTTTTTTGTTTCCTTGACTTGAACCATCTTTTTTTCTTAATATGTTTTCTTTACAGTGGCTCATACAATGATTATGAGTTATCAAGTGATCACGTTAAATGTTGCCATAAACTCATACTCGAATGCCTTGCTTACACTATTGTTATCCAATCAATTTATCGAAATTAAAAGTTCGGTGTTTAAAAGATTTGAAAAAGAGAATTTGTTTCAGTTGAGTTGTGCAGGTAAGAAATCCGAGTCCAACTTGCGCTATTTTTTTTTTCCTTTGGTTAAATGATTCACATACTAATAAATAATTTCAGATATAGTGGAAAGATTCCAACTTGCGCTCTTTCTCACAATAATAACGGTTCGAAATCTGATCGAACTTTCCGGATCGCCACCATCAACATCCTCCAATCTGCCAACCTCGTTTTTCCCGTTGTTTCCAAAAATGACAACAATCGAAACATTATTGACCCCTGTTTTTATTGTGATGGCTTCCGAATTCCTCGTCGACTGGTTGAAACACGCGTTTATTACAAAGTTTAATCAGATCCGACCGAGTGTTTATGATAAGTTTGTGGACGTGCTTTGTTGCGACGTGATTACTGAAAAGTACAATAGAAGAGTAAACTATCGATTTACGTATTTTTTCGCGCTAGTTCATCAATACTTTAAATTGATTGATTTTTTCTTTTATCAATCTATCATATAGAACACTGTTGATAGATCTCCGAACGTGGCTCGAAGAATTGGATTTGCCCCTCTGCCATTAGCATGTTTGGTAAATAAAATATTTTTGAAAGGTCCCAATTTAATTGTTTGTAAATAAGAAATTTTGTATTTTTTTTTTGTGAATAGATGATTACCGTGGCTATTCAGACTATCACCATGATCACTGACTGGAGTTTAGATATGGATGATGAGCTTAGTAATGCGCCTATTGCAGTATTTTCGCGTAGTTCATGGATCGCATGCGGATCTACTTTTTTCTGCATGTAAGTAAACCCCTCCCCAAATCTATTAATTTGAATTGAGAACCAAATTTATTGATTTATTGCTGATCTTTTGTGTAATAGCCTCGTAATCCTTAAGATCTTTATTGGCACAAAATTACTAATATTTTCAAATCAGCGTGAAGCGACCCGAAAAAATCGTCCACGAGATGACGAGCATCACATAGAACAGAAAATCACAGAGGAAACAATAGAAAAGGTTAGCAATACACGTAAATTATTTTTTTCTCTTTCACACGTATTGCTAACTCGAGTTTCTATTCGATCGGAATAATAATAATAGCAACAAATCTTGAACGACCCTAAAGACAATTTTGCAGGGCAATCAAAACCCAAAATAACATTTGACAATATCGAGCGGTACATGATATTTAAAAGTCGAATTCCATAACTAGTTGTCCATTGTCTATAATAGGTTGACTGTTTGTAAATATATGATGTATATGTAAATAATACAACAATGATACCAAAACCTGATAACACAATGATTTGTATCACAAACAAAAAACGTTTTTTTGACAATTAAACTTGTATTTCCGAGGTAAAATTACATTTCAATAAGCCAGTGATGGCGGCTGATAAGGATTCTTTAGTGATAAATAGGGGTTCCCACAATGGGAAGAAAACTTTTTTTTCTTTATTGGTATAGAACAAAGAATACTACACTTTTCAATTTAACAATAAAATAATAATAATAATAATAATAATAATAATAATAATAATAATAATAATAATACTAATAATAATAATAAAATGACCGAAACTAACTTCACCTATCATCGAATCAACAACGAAGAAGCTATTCAAAAGTTAGATAATCAATATGTGGGTAAGCACTGAAATTCGAATAAAACTTCCCTAAGTCTCTACTTTTAGCCTAAAAACTACCATTCTACTTTAGACTTGGCAAGTGCATCACTCGGTGCTACAGTTATTTCTTGTAGTGATGAGTTTTTCGCTGAGGCGAGGAATTTGCTTAAACCTGGAAACGCAAAGAGAGAAATTGGCAGATATACAGGTAAATGTTGTTTTAACTTACATTACATTGTGTCTATGTATATAAAATACAAAGACTATTCGAGTGGAGTTGGTTTAAATAAATTTTTGTAATAGAGAACGGTGCCTGGATGGACGGCTGGGAAACTCGTCGACATAATCCCCTAAAGTTTGATTGGTAATTTATTATTGAAAAATTACTTTTTTTGTTTCACAATAACGATTTTCAATCGTAATTTCCTTTTCTGCAGGGTGATCATCAAGTTAGGATTTGCAGGACATATTACCGGATTTGATATTGATACGTCACATTTCAATGGTAATCAAGCACCGGCTGCCATCGTGAATGCATGTTATTCGCCAAATGGTGATCCTGATGGTGAAACTAAGGTAAAAATCTATTTCGTGCACATAATGTCAAGATGATTGATGATTTCGTGTTTAATTTTGTTAATCTTCATTTTAGTGGGAGGAGATTTTACCCAAAGTGAATCTCAATGCAACTTCACATCATTATTTCGGTGTACCTAAAACGAAATCGACATATACACATGTTAAATTAAGTATCTATCCTGATGGTGGTGTGGTATGTGTAAAAATATTAAATTACACGAAATTGTTTTGCAGATAATTTGTTTCAATTAACAAAAAAAATTAGGCACGACTTCGAGTATACGGCATAGTAAGGGCGATATGGCCCGCTGATCCATCAGCACCAGTTGATCTCGCATTCGTTGGTAACGAAGGCCGTGCAGTCGCTTGCAGTGATCAACATTACGGCATCAAAGATAATCTTTTATTGCCTGGTCGCGGGATAGATATGGGCGAGGGATGGGAAACAAAACGTTCTCGTGAACCAAATCATAATGATTGGGTTATTATAAAATTGGGTCACCCGGGTTATTTGGAGACTGCAGAAATTGACACTGCTCACTTCAAGGGAAATTATCCTAAAGAAGTTAAATTGGATGGGTGTTTCTCTGAATCGGTAAATTATTTATTGTTTGTTGATGAATTTTTTTTAATATATTAACAATATACAATAAATAAACATTTAATAGGAAATTCCTGGTGATGATGCTGAGTGGGTCGAAATTTTGGGGTTAGCGAAACTTGGTCCACATAAACAACATTTGTTCAAATTGTCTGTTTTAGAAAAATTTAGTCATGTAAAGATGACTATTTATCCAGGTATTTATCTTGTCTGTTTTTTTTTCAGTAGAATGATTAATATTGATTAATTTTTGATATAACCAGACGGAGGAGTAATGAGATTACGCATAATTGGCCGAAGGGAATTACCAAATATAAATATTCTACATCCAGTCACTATTCACAACCACATCAGTATACACACTACCAACAATCAATTCAACCCACGAATTATCGTCGCCGAGAAATTAACACAGTATGCGTATGCTGCATACGGTGAAGTAATTCAAGCATTCACCGAGCCACATCACACCTCGTCCACATCAATCTCGATCACTAACGGCATCAAAGTGACGCCTGCCAATCAAGGCACGGCACGAAAATACAACCATATAGCACGTGTGATTAATTTCCGACAAACACTTTATTCGGATAGTGAAGGAAAATCAATCGCGAAGGCTGAACCAAATCTTTCCGTTTTTCACTGTAAACCGGCCACTAAATTGCCATTTGAAGTGAAATTGCTTGAGCGACATTCGTATTCGTCGCAAGCGTTCATTCCGATGGCTAAACAAAATGTGAGCGGGTATTTGGTGATTGTTTGCTTGAATGGAAATGGTAATTATAATATATATGTTGATTTTTCATGGCATATCTGGAGTCGGTTAATTGAGATCTTATTTTTCTTTCAATCTAAGACGATAGACCAGATTTGAGTACCCTAAAAGCATTCACCGCATCTCGTACACAAGGGATAAGTTATAATCCAGGTGTATGGCATCACCCAATGATAGCGCTAGAAGAGGTAATTAAAGTTAACACCACTAGATTGCTTATAGAAATCACTGCATACTAACGTCTCTCATTTTCACTTTGGACTAAATAACCAGACAACCGATTTCGTATGTTTGACGCACGAATCGGGTGTATCAATAGATGACTGCGAAGAAGTTTTTTTGAAAGAAGAAAACGTGATCCAAGTCGAAGTTAACGGATTTAGTGGATCTGAACAACTGAAGCGTAAGACCGAAGATGCTGATTGATAACAATGCGTATCTAAAGGAACGGCATTATGATCCAAGCTTGGCTGCTGTAGCTGTTATTTCTGCTACTACAAGTGCATCAGCAAAGCGGATTAAGAGATCATAATTTCTTCGAGAATCTTACTTTTTGAACTTTTACTGAATACCTTAAATAATCAATAATATAAATGTAATCTGAGTTTAATCATCTCATAAGAACTTTTTTCAAATTAATGTCCTCATATTCTATAATGTCTTGTAGAATGAATTCATATAGAAAAGTTTTATTAATATCAAGTTTTATTTTTTGTTACGATACTGATTCCCGTGGTAACCAGTATAACTGGTTTTAAGAATCTAATTGCTTTGAAAAATCTCCGGCTATTCTGACACATATACTGATAAATGTTCCAAAGTGTCAAACAAACTGACCGACAGACCTTCAATTTATAGATGTGTTGTAGGTTCTCAAATCATCCTTCGCAGCAAAAACAAATCTAAAAATGAAAGATATTCAAGTATCATAATAGGATTCATTATAATCTTAAAATTTATTCACTCACCAACTTGTCCTAAATTCGTGCACCAATTTGTGGTACACCTTCTCTTTAATTCATAGTAGAGTTGCTTTATAGGTCCTGAAGCGTGTCCGCGAGATAAAGGTGAAAGCGACCAAAGGCGATGACGACGTTTGGATTATACCAATCCCGATTTGAATTCATAATTCGGCAGAAAAGTTTCAAAGAAGAAAGTTATTTCATCAAAACGAATTGTTAGCAACATTGTAATATGATTTACTTAAGTATGCGTATATATAAAAGATAAAAATAATATTACTTTCTGTCTTCCAGCATAATTATCAAATTTGGCTTTGCAAAACCGTTTTGCGTCATAGAACCCATGAAGGGTTGAAGATGGTTTTGATAGTCGCGTTTTCGGGGATTAGATAACAAATATAGTTAAAATTTTATACCTTCTTGATCCAATGCATTATACTCCTTTGTTTATTATCTACTGCTACAAACAAATCTCGTCTTCACGGATCTACACCAATAACCCGCTTTCCCTTAGATCAACTATACCATATTCATCTTCTTCATGTTTTCTAATTCGCTTACCAACTGATATACTTGCTCTAACCAAATCAATATCAATATAGATAGCATCACCATTTCGACTAATATTAAAACCCTATCGCCAATTCAGTTTTTGATATATTATGTACAATATTATCGCTATTTGCCAATTTGAGTATCAAAGCATTGTAAATAGTATTTGTAATTTTAATTGCCTTATTTACTTCCGGAATTAGAATTAAAAGAGAACGTATGTAGACGTGGAAGATTAGTAGATATGGGATTGCGACAAGTTGTTCCGTTTCGGAGCAAGTAAAAAAGCGAGTATTATATCAATATTGCTAATATGCGATATTTTTTTCGCAATGAAATGATCAAGATTACTGTTAAACATACACTCAATGATCTGCTTGAATGGGCGATTATTTGTTAAAATCCGAATATTACCTCTCCACCTTTCTGTCTAAATGGTTTATTGCAGTTATCGTTGCTGTCAGGTTATATCAAATTAAATCATCCAGAAAAAATAATGAAACGAAGGGACTAATGTCATCACCTTTCTTTTTACGTATACTTATGAATTATCCTTAGGCGAGTTAAACGGAAAAAAAGCAAGTATACGTGTTATTTCAGATACCCGGACACCCATTCAATCCTTTTTATTACGGATAATGCATCCATTCTCACTTATCGTCAAACAACGAAAAAAGTCGGGTGAGTGAATAAATTTTATTATGTTTTAAGTCAAACAACGAAAAAAGTCGGGTGAGTGAATAAATTTTATTATGTTTTAATACGATGCGAAGGATGGTTTGAGAACCCACAACGCATCTATGCATTGAAGGTCTGTCGGTCAGTTTGTTTGACACTTTGGAGTATATGTGTCAGAATGGGGGAGAGAAGCCGGGGATTTTTCAAAGAATAACCAAGTTATAGTGGTTTACCACGGACCACAGTGGGGAAATTTCCTAGGTGGCAATCCCATGAAACTGTGTTACATGGAAGTAGATATCGTTAACGTAATAAAGAGTAACCTCAAAACGAAACTTGTCAACGAATCTATTAGGTATTTCCCGGCACCACTTCTCAAAAATATATCTCGCATTTCTGTAAACAAACGAGCCACATTTATGAAAATATTTTTATTATAACGATAGGATAAAGTATATGTATACAATAAGAAACAATAAACGGAGCGAATGTATAAAATGCTGACGAGTGAGACTATCATAGTGATAAACTCTAGTGACATTATAATAAATAATAAGAGTAAATTGATCTCGAGTTAAAGTATATCGAAAATAAAAATTAGTCGAATTGTTCGTTTTTTGCGAATTTGTGAATGAAATATAAAAGAGTAATGAAATTAAGCATAAAGACGAAATTTAAAAAAGCAGTGTTAACGCTATCGAAATGATAAATTTTCATGTTAAAATAAACGGAAACGAGTAGGATGGAAATTGAATTTTATCGTCATCTAACACTAAATAATCCAATCTATGACCGAATCGAAACGAAAGGAACATGACAAAAACAGAAAGAATAATTTAACGATGATAGGTTTCCATGAGTATTCTTGCAACATTATTTTGATTTTGATTCGGATTTTGATTCTGATTTTGATTCTGATTTTGATTCTGATTCGGATTTTGATTCTGATTCGGATTTTGATTCGGATTCGGATTCGGATTCGGATTTTGATGGTTGTTGAAAATATCGATAGTTCCGTATATTATTTGCATCATATTAGAATGCGGCTGTGGATTCATTTTGATATAAGTAAATGAAGCTTCAATTTATTGAGGAGAAATTCAAGCGGAATTTTTGTAACTACAGTCATCTCCCCTCTTTATTTATAGACTAAAATTTGTTTCACGTCTTTAATAAGATATTCTTTTTATAGACTAAAATTTGTTTCACGCCTTTAATAAGATATTCTTTACAATAAATATATCTACACTGCTTATTATTGTTCCATATTTATTATCAAAATCCATATCTTCTACCGTTAATCATCAAAATTCATATCTTCTACCAGATGAGGAAGTCGAAATCTATCGCTATGTTACAAGTTAAAAAATTCCTTATTTATCATCACAGAAAACCAGTGTTGTCAGCTTTATATGTCCAATTGTTTTGAATTGGAATTGGACAGCGGTTTACTATGTCCATATTAACGTTAATGTCTAATTGGTCCAGAAAACAGCGGGGTATAGAGGTACCCGTCATAGTAAATGGATACAAATTAGGTTTGTGTCACAATCACATAATTATGTGCTTGTGACACAAGTAGAGGTGCTCAAGTACCCTTGAACTAAAAAATGCTTGCACAAAAGCCCAAGCCATCTTAATCATGTAATAATTCGTTTACATAGACAAGGTTTCGGATTATTAATGAAACTTTTTGAAAGCTTTGTTATATCAAGATTTATTATACTTTGTACAAGTCCAAGCCTCATTATAGTTGTTTATGTACAGTCAAACCTCTTTAAAACGATCAATTATAAGGCGACCACCACATTAAACTCACATAATTTTTTGTGCAAAATTATTACATCAATCAATTCTCTAAACCGACCAAAACCGCCGAAATTTCACTGGTCGTTCTTAAAGGAAGGGGTACCCAAATTTGTAAATTAGAATAACCCTAAATATAAAAAGCTTCCGTAAATTACAATACCTAAGAAATCATTAAAAAATTTGACCGTTACATTTACGTACTTTGTGCATGTAATTGATCGATTCATTTATGAAACAAAGAATTTCATCTAGCATTCATTTTGAACTGGGAAATAAAATTATTATTTGGTATAAATTTATTATTTTCCGTTGTGTGTGTATACAAATGATGTCTTTGGTTAGTAATTTAAAGTGTTTAGTAACAGATTCCAGGAAAAAAAGTACTTCATAGTTTTTTCCTTTTTTTAAAGGTAATAAAGTAATGTTATCACTAATGACACAAAATACTAGATTTAGTTATCATATGATATCTGGTCTCTTATTTTTTTAGCATGACAAATGCTAATCTTTGACGCCGGCAATGCTACTCCGTGATTTACTAATAAGATTCCAAAATGAAAACCATGGTCATTAGCTTAAAAGCAATAACGCATGCTTATTACATGTATGTCAAAAAAACGTTGATATCAGTAAAGTGATAGTCAATCTTTATTAGATGCACCTTCATAATTCTATTGGTCAATTGGCTACATCTTTACATGTTCAACGATGATGGTAGTGATTGAAACTGCTTAAAAAATACTTAACAATATATTTTGAGTATTATATTCTATAGAGAATATTATATTGATATACATGTAGTAGATTTAAAGTTCGATAAACCGAAGGCCCCGGGTTATTCAAAAATAAACTTCGCTTAACGTTATAAAGTACTATTTATAATATGCTTCGTTATATCAAGCTCTTTGTTAATAGGTTGGTTCCTGAAAATTCTTCGTTTTAACGTGAGTTCGCTTTATCGAGGGTTCGCTTTATCGAACTTTAACTGTAATGGATTTTTTAATATTTTTATATATTATAGCAAATAATTTTAAATGCATAAAATTTTAAATGCGTAATTTTCAAATTTACAAACAAAAAATACCAAAAAAAGCCACGGAGGAGAGAAATTATGTTAATATTTGGAACTGAATATTTCAATCAATCAAGTTTGACGACGGATCTATTCCCGTGGTGATACTGTATATAATACTAAACCGGATGAATGTTTCTCACGATGTGTATGTCACTGCAACAACATTAAAACTTTAACATTACGTAATACTAACGATAACAAATACAGTCGGAGAAGTCATTATATAACAAGCAAATCATGTTACTACAACCAACGTGTTATTATAAATGTTACGGTAACAAAATATAATGCACACGCATATCCCATGCATGTATAACTATTTTTGAAGCAATATTTGACTAGATCAAGTACAGAACTCTGATCGGAGAAGTCATTATATAACAAGCAAATTATACTACAACCAGCGTGTAATTATAAATGTTACGGTAACAAAATATAGTGTACACGCATATTCCATGCACGTATAACTATTTTTGAAACAATATTTGACTAGCAACGGATTTTTAGAGATCATAGCTTTCCAACATGTATTTAAAGAGTGTCTTTCCTCTCAAAATGACAGTTGGTTTAATATCAACAATCCAACACTCACGCGAATTCGTCACAAAAGGGATGACGCGAATTCGTCACAAAAGGGATGACTGTGTAGTTGCGAAAATTCAGTTAGAATTTCTTCTCAATAAATAAATTTATAATGAATCCACAGCAGCGTCAGCAACACCACCAACCATTGCCAGATCCTAATACGATCATATACGGAACTATTGATATTTTCAACAACCATCAAAATCAGAATCAGAATCAGAATCAAAATCAGAATCAAACTCAAAATAATGTTGCAAGAATACTCATGGAAACCTATCATCGTTAAATTATTCTTTCTGTTCCTTTCCTTTCGTTTCGATTCGGTCATAGATTGGATTAACATTTGTAAACATACCCTGTCGTACCAATCAAATTAGCATTATTTAATACTAGATGATTTATTTGAACCAATTGTCTTGGCTAATTCTATAGAAATTCACTCGCATTCCCTCGTTAGAAGAAACTTTACTTTTTTATATATTCAATTCCCTCGTTCCGTTTATTATTTTTATCATAAATAAAAATTAAATGAGGTACTGGATCTCGTTCTGATATTCCATGCCAATATGGATCATACTGTCCCCATTATTTAATGTTCGCAGCAAAATCATATAACAAGTTGACCTTTAAGGCCTTATAACTCGAACTCCAAAAATCCGGCTGCAGTGAACTCACAATAAAGAGATTTGCTGCTACTGTTAACTCGTTACCATTAAGCAAGAAAAATATTCAAAGACAGTAATATTCTACCTATCTAGAAAATATTTCACTCCTTATTCGCAAACTTATATTATTTGTAAGTGCGAAAATTCAGTTTGTATGGACATCAGAATTTCGTTTCTTCCTTAGGGAACTGACAGATATTACGTAATTATCAAAAATCTCACCTTCCACGTGACCAAAAATTATTAGCCAATTAAACAGCTATAGAAAGATCTTTCAATTCTCGTTTTGGTACAGTTACATGTACATCAATATATAATCTCGCTTTACTGATATTATTAAAAGTCGCATTTACATCAATTTTTGGCTAATAAATCGCTGGACCCGGGTACTTTAACACTACACACACCAATAATGATACGAAGAAACAAGAAATCATCAATTATATATTTGAATAAATATATATGTCTCCTCTCCCCTCTTTTGAGTTTTAGTAAAAACTAGTGATTTTGTATTGATATACAACCGAAAATTTGGTTGGTGACGCAGCAATTGTGGTGACTAAGTGACCTGCACTGTATACGTTACGTTGATATTGGTTTAGATTACGAAATTGTGTGAAGAGGTTTGATCCAAGATTAATCCAAACTAAATCCAAACCTCTGTGTGATTCAATTCAATTATTTGAAGTTTAATTAAAAGAAATTATGTTATTCCTTTATTTTCTTTTGCATACAAATACACAATCTAGGCCAAAAAGGCTTGCGAATATCATTGGCGCCAAACTATCAGAATATCTTTGTTCATTCAGTAATGTCCGTTTGGTTTGGCGTGGTTGGGTTTTGTCGTATAATTATTACTACTACAAATTTAAGCTTCCGAAATTCAAATTTTAACTAAGATCTTTTTTTTGGATCAGTTGAGATGAAAATCTAGCAAGTTTTTTTTTATCAATACTGCACAAAATTAGATGTAACCTATTTTGCGAAATACGATATAATATATACAAAGGTGTACAATAGAGATTATAAAAACAAGGATGTGACTTCTCGTCTAAAACGTCATTTCATTAAATAAGAATTCTTTCAACAGAGAAACCGTAAACAATCAATATAGCATAAATATCATCATGGATGGAGCAGAAATTACATTCACGAATCCAGAAAGTGCTACCGCTACTGTGTGGTCTGGAATCGAAAGTTTTAGAGAAAATTAAAGACGGCCTTATCAGTTATGATTTCTCTATTTACAGCTTCGGCATCCCCACAGCTATACCGACTTGGTTGGTATGGCAAATTTGGATAGTCCATTGTTTAAATTTTGAAAGGTGAAATCACCATTGTATTTGAAGTTACAGTAACTTGGAATACGGAATAGTAAACAAATAGTCAATACAAGTAACAAAATCTAGAGTTTTCAGACTAATTAATTATAAAATTATTTATAGATTAAATAACATATTTGTCTATTTATTGAGCTGTACACCATAAAACTTTACAAAGTATTTTGAATCTAAAACTAGGTATGAAACTAAAAGTTAAATTAACAATTTGCCGATGGGACTTGCAACGATTCCATATTTTTCAAAATCAAACACAATTTAGCCTTTTCTTTACTATCCCATAGAACTCTTTTCCACATAAAATAAATTACAAATGCATAATTTACAGTGAATGTTTTTTTAGACTCCAAATGACAATGTCAGCGCCGTATCCGACTTTTATCTCACCTTTTTATAATCTAGTTTTGCTCGTTCTCGAGCTTCAGAACATGGGTAACTTTAAATCTACATGGAAATGATCAGCACCATTTATTAAAACCTAGAAAAAAACAAATTTCAGATAAACAATATATATATCCATCTCCAATTCACTCAATAAAAAAGAACTTTCTATTCGCACTTTCTCTTATCGAAGACAACACTTGACCTGAGTAGCACTGCTCAGCCGTCAGACACAGATAATGAAAACACGTGTCCACAGTCAACGGGGCACCGGATCTTTTGCTTTGCAGCCGACAGGTGTACAATGTGTACGGATGGTTTGGTGTTCGGATGTTAGTCGTAAGATAAGTTTTATGGCGTTTAACTGAGGGATTGGACTTTTGCGCATTGAAAAATGTTCAGGAACTGTAAATGCAAGAGATGAGCCGCAGACTGAATTATATTATTGGTTATGTAGATTGAGTATTTAGTCCCTATAAGAAAATTTGCACGTAATATGTCTGTAAATAGAAATATACGAAAAAATTTGCACGTAATATGTCTGTAAAATAGAAATATACGAAAAAATACGAAAAAGTCTGTAAAAGACATAAAAAGGGTCACTTTTTTACGTGTGTTTACGGACATATGAACACGTAAATCACGTATATAAAAGGTTGTTTGTCCTATATTTATATGTCCGTAAAAAGTGACCTTTTACGTGTCTTTCACAGACTTTTTCGTATTTTTTTTACAGATATACATTGAAATTTACAGGCGTATTTTATTAAAAAAAAAACAGAGCGAGTTGGCATGTGTTTTTGGCTTTAGTTAGTTATTTTTACTTTTAATAAAATATTTCGCTAATTGCAAAATATGACTGTTCATAATTTTCTGTATTTGTCGCGTTAATAAAAACAATAGAATGCAGAGTGCGATACATGGGAAGGTCTGGTGTAGAGGTTGTAATCGAATCGAATAATCAAGATTCAAATATGAAGCTTAGGATTCCATATTCGATTCCCAATCAACTTTTCATTTCGGAAATTCGAATCAACTTAATAAGCAAAAACACATTAATACCAAGAGAAGTGTAAAATAGCTATGATAATATAATCATACTCTTAATACACACAGTATGAAACTTAATTATATCAATTAGAATTCGAAACCCTCTAGCACTCTAATTTCGACTAAGAGAGGTTTTCGATTTGAAGAAGAATTTTCTTTATACACCTATATGTTTTGTCCTGCCAAATTTCGTCGATATAGGTTTCTTCTTAGGAGAGAGGTCTACTGCGTGTAGAACCATACCATACCATACCTAAACTAAATACATATTAAATTATAATAAGCAAATGTATACTTTCATGAGTTGCGAAATAAATTTATGTTAAACCAAAAGAAGTAACCAACCACGAAACACCTGAACTGGTCGGGCTTCTCAAGTTCCAAAGCATCCTTCAAATTAGCCAATAAGAAAATCACGGTTTGATCTCGTGGTTTGACCCAAGACTATATACGGGTTTTCAAGCGTGTCTTTACTCAGCCAGATAGATTTTCTATTAATTAATACATATATTGTTTTTGATGTCCCACATTGTAACATGAAGAAAATACAATTCAAATATTTTGTTGTGATTCATATCGCTATGTTCTCGATGATTACTTGTTGCGTTTCAAATACATGTATCTCCAATGATTATTTGTGCGATTCAATGACGATTCATATATCCTCAATAATTTTCGTTACGATTCAATCATTCTCATTGATTACTTGTTGCGATTCAAATATTTTTAATATGAATAAAAAGTAACGCCTATATATGAATAAATTTCAAGAGAGATTTCTATAGTTAATCGCAATATCCCCTTGCTCTTGTCTGCTATACAACAACAAAATTCAGTTAAAATTTTATCTCCCTACCCAATAAATCGAAACTTATATCAAAATAAAATTAATCAACAGCCGCAGCAGCAGCAACCGCTACATTCTTATACGGTGCAAATGATTATATATGGGATTGCAGTCAACTCTCGTTAAACCGACCATATTTTTCTTCGATTTAACGGTAGTTGAATATGTATTTTTAATCATCATTATATAGATAACTCCCGTTAAATCGAAGAAAAATATGGTCGGTTTAACGAGAGTTGATTGTAACGCCAACGATATTTTCGAAAACCAGGCGACTACATTATCAAATCAAAATCAAACTCAAAATAATTTTTCAAGAATACTTACCGTCGTTAAGATAAATTCTTGCACATTTGATTTTTCGATTCGGTAATTTATTCCTTTTCATAACATGTCCATCATACATTACTATTTATAGATATCAAGATTTCATTTTTAGTTTTTCTGAGATGGTGACGCGTATTTTGTGCTTATCAATTAGTGAAAAAAACTCGTTCAGGCGCTTAATATCTATTTCCAGAAATGCACCCGTTTCCTTATATTCACAATTCACATTATTTATTATTAGATTCTTTCTCGCTCTGTTTATATTAATTTTAAAGTGAATTCGGATTCATTAATCAGTTCGAGTTGGGAACAATACTCTTCCGATTCTATAATGTCATTACGATCAAAAAATATTCATAGGTATTTGGTTTCTTCGGCAAATAATATACCTTGAATAGGCAATTAAATGCTAGCTACATTCATGTCTTTACATCAGCATCATATTAATAGTGACATAACGATAAAAAACGACAAAACGAAATCACCTGATTTGTTATTTTTCCTATTCAAATCAACAATTTAAAACATATATAATGATACAATTTTACGCGTAAGCAAAATCTCTTCCTTTTAAGCTAATAAAAACAACAATCTTTATAATTTATTTTATTAATTTATTTATAAAACTATAATTTATAATTTGTTTACATATAGTTTATAATTTACAAGATTGAATCCAATCTTGCAAATAATAAACTATATATAATGTTTATGCTATACCACCGCCGCCCAAACCAAAGGTAGTAATCTATTGCAAATTCTTAATGCTATAAATATAAATTTCAAATATCTTAGCCGTGACAATTGCTCAATTAGCTAGATTTTTATTTTTTCTGGCTCCCAATTCCCAAAATTGCGCGCGCGATCTCAAATTCCCAACCACCAAAATTATAATGTAAAGCCACCAGCAGAGCTACGACGTCTCAAAAATGCTTCTCTTAATATCGAATTGATGCCAGAGTAATCCAATGATGCATCGTTTACAGATTTACCGCCATAACAATTGCTTCCTTTATTAATTTCATTACTATTCTGAGATAAGTTATCATCCGGTTCATCGATTTCCATATCCCCCAAGTCTTCTTCCAATTCACTGACAACATGCGAGTTACGCATAAGATGTGCGAGGTATAGTACAGAGTTGATGTTGTCGTATGGGTTCAAAAGTTCCGAAGATGACGCGGATGGATTAGAGCGTGTTGAGATTCGAATTGGATGCATTTTGTGAGGAGAGTGGGGATAATGATGACTATGCTGCTGCTGCTGATGGTGGTTGTGGTTGTTGTTGTTGTTGTTGTGGTTGTTGTTGTGGTGGTGGTTGTTGTTGTTGCTGCTGCTGCCACCGTTGTTGCTGTTATTATTATTGTCGTTTTGTTGTGGATGATGAACACTTGTTTGTTGTGATGATTGATTGTTTACTTGATGATTGTACGGAAAATGAAATGTATTCGAGTCGACGTTAAATTGTTCATAATAAGGAGGAGAGTATGATATAGGCGTGGCAACATTCGATTCAGATGAGGAGGAGCTCGACGAGGAATCGTCGTATGTTAACAACGCTCTGGAAATTTCTTCTTCGGCTTCGAATCTTTGTCTTTTTGCATTATTACCGCGCACAATATGCCTCAGGTTAACATCAACCTTTATCGCCGCCTTGCCCTTTCCCTTTTCTTTATTATTCTCCCTCAAAATGCTATTCTCGTCACCATAGCCACCATCAACATTGCTATTTATTCCGTTTGCGTAATAATCATTGACTTGTGCACCTTCTACCTCATGATTGTCCGGCTCTCGTTGTCGTTTTGTTCCACGCATACTTTTTTGAAGATATTTATTTAGGTAGAGAGCCGTGCAAATTTTGTATGTGTGTTTTTTTGATATTTATTATAGTTATTGTATGCGATAAAAAAATAATAAGTTGATTTTTTTAACAACTGTGGAGAAAGACACTTAGTGTCTATCAAATAATTAGCATCTAAATTTAGTAAATTCTGGCTGAAATTACAACGAGTCTTGAATCATCACCATTATCAATTTTATTAGGATGTCTGGACTTTACTTTCCAACTCGATCATTTCAAATATATCAAACATTCGCGGCGAATACCAATCTCGGAAAGACATTATTTTCGGCTGGTCTATTGCGGGTAGCTGCTACCGATAAAAAAGCTTCGAGATTATTTTATTTGAAACCTGTTCAAACTGGCTATCCGGTCGATAGTGATGCGAGATTTGTTGATAAGTTTGTCAATAGTAAAATTCTCAATACGAAAACTCTGTATTGTTATGAGAAACCCGTTAGCCCTCATATTGCAACTGATAAGGTATATTTTGGAATTAATGAACAATTTGCGGTGAATTATGTGATTGATTAATACATTTTTAATAATGTATTTGAGCCGCCAAATGATAAAGATGTTTTGTCGCGAGTAAAATCCTTTATTTCCGAATGTCAAATTCAATCGGGATCGAACGGTGAAGGGAAATTAATTCTGGAAACTGCTGGTGGTACGTATGGTTAAACATTGTTTCTTTCCAAGTGAATAATTATGAATTAAAATTCTATTTACAAATAGGTGTCAATAGTCCGCTTATGTCGGGTGAGTAATAGCGTTTCTTTTTTCTAGTGTGTTATTCAGAGCTGATTATAGTTTTTATTAAATTAGGGACTGCACAGTGTGACTTTTATCGGCCACTTCGCTTGCCCACAATTTTGATAGGAGATAGTAAATTAGGTGGAATTTCCACCACAATATCATCTTTTGAAGCTCTTCGTTTACGTGGTTATGATATCCCCGCGATACTTTTATTCCATGATAGTGAATACAATAATTTTCAGTATTTAAGAGAGTATTTCAGAAACTATGACACGCGCATACATGCAATTTCGCCACCACCGCCAAAAAATAATACGGCAGAAACGGATCATGAAAATTTACGAGATTATTTCTCTAGCACGGCACAAGATTTTCAAAACATTTTAAAACAATTGAATGAATGGCATCATATTCGGTTTGATCGACTTGAGAGCATGGAAAAAAAAACAATGAAAAAAATTTGGTGGCCATTTACACAACATCAACGAGTAAAGAATGTGACAATAATTGATTCGGCTCACAGTGATTTTCTAACCACGTTCAATAAGAATAATGATAACGAGGATGTGGGACAAGCGCAAATGAAAGAAATGTTCGATGCATGTGCAAGTTGGTGGACTCAAGGTAAAAAATATATCATTTTTATATGTTAATTATTAATGCTAACTTGATAAACATAAAATGTAATAATAGGCTTAGGACATGGTTCAGCGAAATTATCCCTAGCAGCATCATATGCAGCTGGACGCTATGGTCATGTAATATTTCCGGAATGTACTCATGAACCAGCATTAGATTTAGCAGAAAAATTATTAGAAGGAGTTGGAAAAGATTGGGCGACGCGTGTTTTCTATAGTGATAATGGAAGCACTGCAGTTGAAGTAGCATTGAAAATGGCATTGAAAACCAATCTTGAGAGAAACAATATAAGGGATGAAAATTCTATTAAACAAACAGGAAAAGAATTTCTAGTGTTCGGGATTGAAGGAAGTTATCACGGAGATACAATTGGAGCCATGGATGCATGTGGGCCAAATGTTTATAATGACAAAGTTAAATGGTATCTTTATTTTTTTTTGGACAAATAATAATTATTAATAAACAATTGTTAATGCTAGTATTTCATAATACTAATTACAACATTTAGGTATAAACCAAGAGGTTATTGGTTTGAAGCACCAACGGTTCATATAAAGAATGGAATGTATTCGATAGATATTCCTAAATCTATTCATCCGGATAATACAAAGATGACGTATTTCTTCCCTTCACTCGATTCAATATTTAATCAAGATCAGCTAACAACATCTGATTTGGTGAAAATATACGAGGAACATATAAGGAGAATACTTTCTTCATTTATTGGTTCAAGTGAATATCAATTTGGTGCTCTTATTTTGGAGCCAATTCTAATGGGTGCTGGTGGAATGAAACTAGTTGATCCACTATTTCAACGCGTTTTAATTGATGAAGTCAGAAGGAATAAGATTCCTGTTATTTTCGATGAAGTTTTCACTGGATTCTGGAGATTAGGATACAGAAGTGGCGCAGACTTGTTGGGAAAAGTAAATCAGCGTTATTCTGATTTTATTAAGATTTATTTGAACTTATTAATTTCTATTTCTTAATATAAATAAGAAACCAGATATTGCAACATACGCTAAGCTTATCACTGGTGGACTAATACCATTAGCAGTTACACTCACTACCGAATCAATTTTTGAGAACTTTATTGGTTCAGAGAAAACGGACGCGTTACTTCATGGCCATTCATATACTGCTCATCCGACAGGATGTTTCGTTGCAAAGACATCCCTTGATGAATATGAAAGATTAAATAAGAATAGTTTACACTGGAACTTAGCAAAATCACAATGGGCTGACCACGAGAAATCAAGTACCGCCAGCAGTTACAAAGAACCAATCGTTTGGAGTTTTTGGGATAAAAAGGTAGATTTTGAAGTTTACTTGAAAAGAAATTAACTTGAATTTTTCATTAATTTCATCTTTTTTCTTGCCAAAGATTGTTCATCGTATTTCACATCTACCAAATGTTAAAGGTGTCGTGACGCTGGGTACTTTATTGGCTATAACGTTAGAAGATTCTGCAGGAGGCAATTACTGTTCTATTCTATTCTATCATATTTTATTGATTCTTACTAAAAAAATTGTTGATTTTATAAATAGGATACGCTTCAAATGCTTCACAATCTATTGTGAACGAACTTTATTCATCATTCACATCAAATAATTTTGGAATCTATGCAAGACCGCTTGGGAATGTTGTGTATTTGATGACTTCACATGTTACGTTACCTGACAATATACGCGCAGTCGAAGAAAAGTTGGTGGAATGTATAAAATCTTCAAAATAAATTCAGAAAGATTCTTTGCTCATTATGCCAAAAAATCACTTCCAATGAATATTATATGTAGATTAGACTGTAATTGCCATCGATTCATTAATTTCGCCAATAATCAATTATAGTTATTTAAATTAAGCCCATCTGCCTTTCTCGTCAAAAATACTTTCGGACAATATCGTTATGATGTAGGGAATTTTTGTGCCGTTTTGGACTTTACAGGTTAAACATGAAAAATATAATATTTCTCATATTTTGTCCGCTTAATCAAAATATATTGAACGTTTGCTTCGTTGATAGATCCTCTTATGATTAGTTTTTCCTTGTCAAAACTTATCGTGAAATGTTTGTGTCAAATACACGCCGTTAGTAATAAAGTGATTTACTCTTTCTATTCATTGTCTCAATGATTAATTTCTTTCTTCGAAAGTCGCTTGCAACTTCCGAACTGCATTTAATAAAATGATATTTTTTTCGCCATCAAAGAGAACGAAATCCTGATTAGGATATACATAAATAATAATTGATATTGTATTTCGCGATACCTATTTTCGTGAAAAATAATTATCGGCGAAAAAATAATTTTGGCAAGCGTTAAGGAATGAATGATACAATTCCGGCAGCCACCTTATATAATATTCTTTTGGGTATCTAGACAAAACATGGATTATGTGGTAGAAATACATTTATTTCCACGGATCTTTTTGTTGAGGATAAGGATACTGAGAAGATTTTTGGTGATATTGCTGTTGTTGCTGCCGTGAATGCTGGTGATGTGGAGGCGGGTAAGGATAATTATGATGACGAGAAGCTTGTTGATGTTGCTGTTGTGAATACTGATGAGAATATGAATGACGAGACGAAGATTGTTGATAATGTTGCTGCGAGTATTGCTGTGGATATTGTTGCGAGTATTGCTGCGAGTATTGTTGCGAGTATTGTTGCGAGTGTTGCTGTTGGTATTGCTGTGAATACCGTTGGTGTGAATTGTTTTGATATCTTTCTTCTCCTCTGCCACCACCGCCACCTCTTCTATTACCTCTTCTCACAAATTCAAAATCTTCAAAACTCAATACACGACCAGAAAACTTTACATTTTTTAACAATACTGATTTTTGTGGTCCATTTCTTGGCGGAAGATGATATATAACACTAGATAATTAATGTAGACGATGATAATAGCCCATCGAAGTTGTTTTAACTAACAATTTTCTTTGGTATTCATGATTGAGAAGTATAACACTATATCTAAATAAATGTAGAAAAACGTCATACCTTAGTGACTTATTGTTGACTATATCTGGCTCATCGCGACCTATTAGTGGTGAATATAGCGTGCTTCCCGGTATAAAATTAGGATCTTTCGATGCGAACCCGATTAGTTTGTCACTGAGATTGGGATTCAGCGGTACCGGCTAAACAAAAAATCATCGAAATAAAAAGCTTAGCAAATTTAAAAAGTAGAATTATCAACCAGACAACTAAATTTCTACAGATTAATTTCAAATTACCTCTTCTATTTTCCTCTTCCCGTATAATAGACATAGCTCCTCATATAATTTATGTTGGTATCCAAAACATAGAACTTCATTTCCTATCGAGTTTCTAATTGTTTCTTCCTCTGTCAATTGAGGGTATACCTTTTCTAATGCCGCAAGAAGACGTTCTTCGTCAATGAACGGCAAGAGCGCCACGCCTATTACCCATTTGACAAGTATAATAATATGTTGTTATAGAGTTGTTCTTACCAGCGTTAAGTGATGACCCGTCTCAGCATACCTTGCCATGCAAACTTTTTGCCATTCAAGTCGATTTCAAAGTCCTCGGGGTAGAAATCTTTGATTTCGCTTTCTTCACTGACCATTAGATCACCCAGTGGTCCAGGTAAATGCACTTTACTATATTTGTAAAATTCCAAGCCCATTTAATGATTTATGGTCATGCAATCAAGCATAAGCTTTATTCGGAAACAAGCGAATTCTTTCTTACCTTGCAGCTGGTAATACTCCCATGAGTTGTTCGAATGGCTTGAATGGTTGCCCCAATTCAAAGCTTAGTTTAATGTCTTTAATATTTACAAAGTCCGAAGCGAATGGTGCATAATGATATGGATAATACCATTTCCAAGAAGGAACACCCTAAAACAAAAAGTATGCGTTAGAAAGTGATTCGAATAAAAAATCATGTTTATGTGAATTTTTGTTATTGGATACTTGCTTGAAAATAATAGCGCAACACCCAACAAAGTCCTTCGACATAAGACTTAACCAATCTGAAAGATTAATATATAATTCAAAAATTTGTATGGACAACTATTGTACTATTAACATGAAAGACATAAAAACTTACTGTTTTCGAAATTCGACATCACTCAATTCCACGCCGAACTTGAGCTTATAATAACGCTCTTTATATCCAGATTCCCATAACCTAAAAAATAATTCGATTAACAAAAAATCGAAACCAAAGATTATTTTGCTCGGCATTTGATTTTTACCTAATAGAGTCTGTGATTTCATCTTGTGCATCTATCTCATTTTGTGTTGCACTCGCTTTTTCCTCCTCTTTTTCCTCCTTTTTTTCCTCTTTTTCCTCCTCTTCCATTTCATCAGCCTTTCGTTTATGACCCTTTAACTCGGCCTTTAGTGATTCAGCAGCCTGAATATTTGCAATTCGTATAGCCGCCCTATTGGCAACAATGTCCGAATTTGTTTGTGCACGGAGATTCGGGTCTACTCCTTTGACAGGTAATATCGGAATCCCAATTGGAACAGACGGAGTCATAGATGCATTGTATTCAAAGTTAAAGATTATGAAAAATTTAAATTCTGGCAATTGTGCGATAAATGATAAACTAATCGCTTTTGAACATTCAAAGGATATTTTTTTAGTAGAGTGAACCACTTCAGGAGGTCCATAAATATTCTTGGCGGCCGCTTCTTGAGTTTTCCGCCTCTTATTGGCATGTTCACGCCTTTCTTCTCCTGTTTTAGTGTGAAATTTATTATTAAACTGATGAAAAATAAATTCAATACTGAAAAACATGACCTACTCTCATGCCTCTCATGGAATATTTGATCCTCTCTATATCCGAGATGTGTAATAAGGACCTGGGCTCTTTCTAAATTAACCTACATAAGAACATAAAGTTTTACCAACAACTTCTAATGGAATATATAATGCAAACAGTTAAATGTCAATAATTTACTTCTCCGTTCTTCGTCAAATAACCACCCATTTCCGGAAGCACTTTTTTCCATATCGAAGTCAACGTATCGATAGCTCCTTCCCTAATCTCTAGCGAAGGTAAATGAGGAAGGAAATCATTGCCAACAAAGAAACACAAGAACACCCAATCGTCTATGGTCCTCTCAAAATCAGGTTTGAAAGGAAGTGATGGCACTTCAAGTTCTATCTCCAAATATTCTCGGAGAATTTGAACATCTAAGAAAACATATGGTTTGAGGCCGATGGGTTTTGCTTTCTCGTCAAAATCACCCTGTTTCTCTTTGACTTTTCCTAATAGGAAAGAACATAGTATTATTTGTTTATAGAATGGATTATTTATTATTAGGAGGAAAGATTCATCATACCTGTACATTGAACAGCTTGATGTCCTAATTGGCCACAAATGAAACATCCTTTGATGAGTCCTTCTTTGAAGAAAACATCTTCACGTAACACTTTAAAATGAGGTTCATGGGTGCCCAATGACAACATGATCAAATCTGCATCCTAAAATCACAATATTTTCCCATTAAGTAACTGCAAGCAAAGTACTAAATGAAAAATCGTAATAACTTACCAAACCATAAATAACATGACGAGTATTGGGATCATGATCGGGACTGGCACGTTGTGAACGAATAAATTCCATTATTTTATGTTCGCCTTCACCAGGTACATTAGCATCAGATAGAATTGCTTTTAACTAAGCATTACATTCAGATTAATTGTTATGTAATAAAGAATACTTCTATATAATTCAAGTTTCGATAACATACATTTTTCCATCCAGGATCTGTATTCAACTTGTTTGCTAACCAATACCGTAAACATGTAGCAAGATGTGCCATAAAAGGAGTTCCTATATAATTATAATATAAAAATAAAATTTAACTCTTCCCCCAAAAAATTCAACAAAGTAACAAAAGAAAATTTACCTGGAGTAATACAATTACTGTCCCATTCTTTTTTTACTTCCACGAAAGTGTCAATTTTTCCAGCAGCTATTGATCATCCAAACTCAGATTAGTTATTTCTAATAAAAAAGACCAATAAATTAAAAATCCATACCTTCAAGCTCAGATACTAGTTTTGTTTCATCTTCATGTTTTTCTTTAGATTCTTTTGCAGTTCTAAAGCGTCGAGAACGCTGTTGATTCATCTTTGCACGAGGTGCCACACCATCTAAACAAACATATCATAATATAGAACTTTCTCTGTACGTATATATATAACAATCAGCGAACATGCATACCTATAGCCAAATATAAGATTTTCCGTGGTCGAACCATATTTATAATCCGCTCGGTATATTTAAAAACCTCAATTATCATTTCATCTTCTGTAGTAGGTGCTGCCTAGTATTAGGAAAACAATAAGTTTTTCAAGGCTCTTTCAAGGCAGAATTTTTTTGTTCAAATAAAGATATACCTTATCTTCTGGGTGACAGCAAGGATGGATAATACCATTCATATCTAAATATAAATTATCAAACTCTACTCCGTTAGGATTTGGCTTTGAGATATTCGGAGGTATCTCGACGCCATGAATTTCTACCGGTTGCTCTTCGATTACTTTCTCGACGATTTTCGGATATTTACCAGCAAGCCATCTTTATTGAGTTCCAGATTAGAAAATTTAGTCAAGATCGAATTGAAATCTATGAATTTGAATTCTTACCTAAATAGTGCTGGGACTCCCATTGTCAAAGATTCCGGTTAACAAAAAGTCAAGTTAAAGAAAAATTTGAAAATCAAAATAGACTGCCATTTATTCTATTTATTTACAAAATTCTTGGGCCTTTTTTTTAATTAGTAAGATCCCTAAAATTAAAATTGAGATTCATAACGATAAATTTCGCATTATCATACAGAAATTATGTGAAATTGGTCTTTAATGTTGACGTTAGTTTTTTTTTAATCGTAGTCAACATCACACGTTTCCATTTTTTCGATTATCAGCTTTTTGATGCTAAGAGCATTTCAAATTAATGTTATTTCCACAACAAACACTAATTGACCGAGCCTTTCTTTCAGCTGTAAACTTCTCACATGTAAACAAAATAAGGACATTTTCAGTTCCTTGTGATGGCTCTTTTTCTCGAAAAATTTGTCACAGATTTGTGGTTGTGAAATACGATAATTTATGAGACGAATGTTCAGCAATTAGGCTCCGTTACATTATGGGGAAAATAAAACCATACACATAAGAATTGTTACATTCACAAATGAGACACTCTAATTCTTCCGTGTATGACACTAACGCAGAAACGTCGTGGTATGCTTTACGCGTCGTTTCCTTGATGTTTTAATGGGTATGACATCTATAAATAGTCGATCGCGTAGTTTCCACTGAATGATCCATATCGATACCGATACGGTTTTTCATTTTAAAATTCAAAATTATGGCAGACCATCTTGTTGACCCAGACGTCCCTAGTGTATCTCGCAGACTCAAGCTACTTCGAATAGGAAACACTGTTTCCTTTTTATTTTTTTTCGGGGCTATTGTTGCAGGAAGCCTAGTTCACCCAAGCGTGACAGTGTCTTACTTCACACCACATCATCTTTTTGTTGAAATATTTTGGGCTATTTTATTTTTACTGCAACTTGTGTTTGTTTTTTATGCACAGTATAATAACTTGCATGTAGTGCAGAAATTAGTTTCTCATGGTATCAATTGGTATTTTATGGCGAGCCACCTACTAATATCAAGTGGGGTACTGTTTTTGGTAGGTTTAATTCAAAGTAGTCACTTTTATTCATACGCCCTTCTCAATGTATGCTGCATTCACGTTACTGGATGCCTTGCATGGTGGATTTGTTGCATTCACCGATACCGATAAAGTGTATCAAATTCTGGCGTGTGTTGCAGTTTGGGCACTGGCTATTATTGGGATTGGGTGGACTACTGTCGGATGGTGGAGTGAAGGTAGAAGAGATGGTGTCTTTGGGACTACTATTGCGTGGTATGTTGTTGGATATATGATTTTTTTTTTCGATATCGAATTTATCGAAAATTTCTATTTTTTTGAATAGGATTTTAATTAGCCTTGCAGTTCAACAACGTGATGTTCTATTTCTTTCGATTCAAGCCATCGTATTGGCTATTGTACAGGTATTATTACTAATTTTAGTGTTAAATCAATATTTCCTTATATACTGATATTAATTGCAATCTGTTGTTCATCATAGCTATTGACAATAATATTCGTCTGGCTCCGATTCGGAGGTGCGTACAGCTCAAAATCAACATCTGAACAACAACCATTATTACAAGAGTGACTATATGATGGAGCCGAAAACAATAGAAGAGTTCATGTGCCTTCTGGCTCTTCTGGGGGCTGGTTCGCTGGGCTATCGTTACTCGTCGAAACGTTGATCCTTTATCGATAGTATTTTCTCTAATCTATTTTGATGTATATATTTAATTGTATCTTTTTTTTGATTTTTGTTCATACTTATTCAATTTGTAAGATATTATCATTTTACTTCGGTGTAAATTTTTCGAATCTTTTGTCGATATTCCGCGGAGACACGAGAGTAATTCTGCTTTAGATAATCCATAAAATCTAAAAAAAAAAAAATATACTTATGCGTACATTAATAGCCTATGCACAATTTCAATCAACAAATAACAATAACTAATATATACAGACCAAATGAATACAGACCTTTTTCTAACCAATCATAAAGCATCAAAAAAACTCCTTTTTTGTGTTCATCATTAATTTTTTTATTAACATCAACGACAATAATAGGAATTTTACCCCACCATTTCTGCGATGATTTCGACTGTGTTTGTGCAAAATTATCATTTTCATAATAGACGCATTTATATAGAGTTGTCAGCGCTTTTTTTCGTTGCGATGCATTCAAAGCAGCAGAGAAGAAGAGAAGCGGATTTCCGCGTGAAAAATCATCAAGACTTTCATCGAAGAAAAATTGATTATTTTTGTGACTATAATGATTGCTAATATTATTACTGTTATTACTTGTACCATTCCTATTAGAAGTGCCCAATACAGAAGCCGGATCAGATACAATTATCGAGAACCGCATTCCGTGTGCAAATATCTCTTTTAGTGATTTCTGTGTTGATAGAGCTTCGAGTGCATTATTATTAATATTGTTACTACTAATCTTTTCTTTTTCTAGACTTATTTCAATGCTTTTACTCTTCTCTTCTATTATTAACGATTCGGTTGTTGCGTCAACGGGGATCCCGATTTTTCGACATAGATTCAAGAATTTAAGTGAATTATGTAAACTTTGGAATTTGCCAAAAGATGATGATGGTATTGACATAAAGTCACATTTAATCGAGTTCAAGCGAGTTGTAGAGTCATTAATACTATTTTTATTATCACTATTATTATTGTTTGCCTTTCTGTGAGTACTATCTTTATAATAAAATTCCAAATTTACTAATCGTATCCGTGGTGATGAAGCCAATGCACACATTAGCAAATCCAGTTGTTTCAAAGAAATAGGAGGAACGTGCTTTTCTTTACCCACGGTATCACCAGAATTCAATAAAGCAGACAATGCCTGTAGTGAATTGTTGTTCACTTGTTTCTCTTTTGGGTGGTTGTGGAAAAAGTCTGGGTGCACATGAAAAAGGAATTTGGTAACGTATGGGTTTAAGAGGGTTTGGAGTTTTCGCGGAAGTTGGGTGTTTTTTAGCATTTTTCCGGATTTTCGAATTAGATTATCGTTATCACGATCAGTTAGTAACCTAGCCATGGCGAAAAAAAGTTTCGATCACGTGATCTAAAATAGGTCCATTAAAATATCCGATTAATATTAGATATCAAGTATTAGGATTAGGATTAGAGTTGAGATCAAGATTATATATAAAATTGTCTTCCCGACATTTTTTGATAGTGTGCCAAGCTAGATTTAGATATCTGTTTTTTTCGGATTTGTTTTGTCGAGTTAATCAAAAATTTGCTACATTTCTATTGGTCGCGCAGAATTTTTGCGCATTCTTATTGGTTGGATCTGATCAAACTCACGTGATCGATACTTTTTTTCGCCATGACTAGATACTAAATTAATCAATTGACATTTTCAATATCATATAACTTATTATAACTCGTATAATCCTATTAAAAACTGATAATAATAACACTTTTATTTTTAATTGGTTAATAATGCACATTACAACTGAGGTTGATGATTCAGAATGATATGTAAATAATATTTTAGATTATATATTAATATTATATTAAGTGGAATAGAGAAAGAAATATTTTTATTTATTATATTTCTTCTATTCATTAATTGATACAGATTTTTTATTATAATTACTATTATTATTATTACGATTTTGTTTTTCTTTTTTAAAAATCAATATTTTCTAATAAATATTACTCTTTTTTATAAAGAATTTTATTTGCATTAATTTATAATCAAATTTCTTTATAGTCATATTTATTTATAGTCATATCTTTTTATAATCATCCAATTTTGCTTTTCTGAATTTTTAATTAATAAAAAATTCTCTATATAATTACATCCTCTTTATAATCATTATTACTATTAAATAATTTTTATAATATATATTAATTATAATAAAAAAAATCTTTTTATAGTCATCATTTAATTCAAAAATGGAAATAATATAATTATATTATTTTCACTTAGTCTAGGTTATGTATAATGATGGGATTATATATGCATTATTATTTGAGTGATGATTAGTTTACGAATTTATTATCACACTTGAATACCTCCACAATCTATAAAAAATATGACAACAGTTTATGTTCACGTTATTACACTTGGTCACTTTGATAAGTAGACAGTTTGTATACCCTTTAGAAAGTCAAATTTGATATCAATAATATTTTAATTACTTATATAAATTTTCATATATCAGCTTAGTGTTTTTGATCAATTTTCAATATAATAAAATAACTGATTTAGATTATGCTACCCAGTTATTTTTGTTTAATGAACTGAATATATTTTATGTGTCATTTAATATTATATGTTGACTCATTATTTTTAACTGATTTCTATTACAATAAAATAGTTGAGGTAAGTTATGCTACTCAGATTATCTCATTACAAGTTTGATGAGTTGAATGTATTTTATGCGTTATTTGATATCATATGTCAATGATTCTAACTGATTTTTATTACAATAAAATAGCTGAGGTAGATTATGCTATCAGATTAACTTTATTACAAGTTTGATGATCTAATTGTGATTATGTTATCATTTTTAGTCAGAGTATATGCTATTGAGTTCGTTATATATATGCTATATATATATTATCTGAATATATTATATATATGCTATTTGGTTATACTATATACATGAATTTGGTTATGCTATCAATTATTGCTATCAAATATGTATGTTAGATGCAAAGTATTCTACTTCATAGAGTATAACACATAAATACTATCAATAATGCTATTATATATATGCTATCAGACTATGCTACTAAAAAATACTATCGAGTATGTTATATTAGAGATACTAATTTTGATCACTAGAATTTTGATACTAGTTAGCATTAGAAAAATGTCTCAATTTCACTTATATTAATAATATGTTATCTAACTTAATTTTATTTATGATATATGTAAAAAGATGGATGATGTAAACTGATCATATTATATATATATTATCAGTATATGCTATCTGATAATGCTATATACATATTATCAGATATACTATCTATCATCAAAAAATCTTTAGTGACAACTTTGATGATGGGTTTATTATTAATTTTCAGTTTTAAATTTTTTTTATCTTGTTTTTATATACTGTCACCAAAGTTACTAAAAATAAAGTAAAATGACTGATTTCCATTATTGGGTTACATGAGCAAAAAAATATGCTGATGATATATTCAGTCATGTATTGTCATTTGCTGATCTGATGTGAGAGCTATGCTCAAACTGAACATGTAGTGCTCTTAGCTTTCTAGTTGATTTCTTGATAAGAGCCAGATTTGAGGCATGTAATGCCAAATTATTAGCAATTATTAGCTTTACATAATTCATTTGAATATCACCTGAGAATGAAATACATAGTGCTAAATTGTTATCCTTACTTAGTAATACTCAAAGTATTGTAATAAATATATCTGTTTTTTGTTTTTATATTATAAAAAGAGATAGATATGGCTTGATATAAAAATGATATAGTGGATATAAATATAAAAAAAATCTTAATATAGTTAGAACAGCAAGGTTACAGTAATTTTATTACTTTTGACTTGTTTAAATTACTTCTCAGATATCAAAAAAAATATGTAATTTTGCTATTCTAAAATTAAGTGTGATATAATTTTGCCTTCTAAAATCCTTTCTTGTATAGCCAGTGCTGTTCCAATATATATTACTAAATATATAACAATATATAATCTTGTTGATCTGAAAAATATATAATTAAAATATCATCTTGTTGTCCTAAAAATCATATAACCAAAATGTAATCTTGCTATCTTATTATAGCTATATATTTTACCATCTCATTATATCTGCAGGTTGTTGTTCCAAAAATATATATAATATATTAGACAATTGTTATCCCAAAAATATATGTGATATATAATTAATTTTATCTATCAATTTATGATAAGTAATTGCTATTTCAAAAATTTAGCCATACTTATGTGAATTGCTAATCTATTATATCTATATATAAGGATGCTTGCCTAAATCCTTTCAGAAAAATATCGTCATAATTTCGACGGGTTACACACTAATTGTTAATTAGAATTTCGACATAATTTCAGTTACGACGGGTTTCAAAATTCGTCAGAATTTCGACAGATTATTTACTAATAGTTTATTATAATTTAGACAGTCACTAAGGGATTTCGGCAAGCAACCTTATCTATATACATTACTGTCTTATTATACCTACACACTTTGCTGTTCTAAAATTTTAGTAAAGATCTATTGTCAAAAATCTGATTATATCTTGATTAAAATTATATAATACAAAACTTACCTTATTCAATATATCAGAAGCACTTGTACATGAATCAGATAACAGCAATTTATCCAACATGATCCAAAAATCCTCTTTGTATAAAATGCTTGTCATCTTAAATTGGATAACACAAAATCTCTTTATATAATTCAGATATCAAATATTAATTTTTTATTTGAATTTTTCTGCAATTGTAAGAGGTGACAAAAATCTTTTACCTGAGATAAATAACTAGTTAAATATAGCAATTTTTTTCCTTTAGAAATTATTACTTAACTAGATAATATTATCTTGATACCTTATATCTGCTTTATTGAAAAATTTATAATAATTATACATATTCAATAATTGCTAAAGATTTATTTTTCAACTCTTTTTTGTACAGAATAGTAGGAACTTTCATTTTAATCTCAAAATTTTGTTTATATTCCAAGAAAATAATCTCATTCATACTCTCATGCTCTTTTTTCTTTTTTCTCTCAAGTTCAAAAAAACTGATACTCCAAGGTATAATTAATTAAAATATTCAAGTTAAATTCTAATATTCAGTTACCTAGCTCATACATTCTGTAACTATTCATTTTTTTTCTTCAATCTCCATGTATGTTTCAATATAATAAACCACATAACTGTAATAATTAATAGAATAAGAAAAATATATGCTGATAAAGATGACATCAAAGTACTTATCACAATAGGAATTGCTTCTATCTCTCCTATTAGAATTTGAAAATTTGATTTCATCAGAAAATTTCTATACCCGTTGGTAATCGATTTATAACCATACCCATTGGCAATCGATTATCAACACCCCCATCGTTCACCATCGATAGGGATTATAATCAATTGTCAGCGATTAAAATCGATTATAATCGCTGACAATCGATTGCGTTCGAAAATCATCGAAGAACATCGTTAGCAATCGATTGCAACCGCTAGCGATAGAAAACGATGGTGTGTTGATGATCGATTGCCAATGGAAATTGTAAGCAATTGATTGTCAACGAGTTCCGTTCGCAATCGATTGCAATCACGATCGATGCCAATCGGTGGGGGTGTTGATAATCGATTGCCAATGTATAAGGTAGCTAATCGATTACTAGCGAGAATTGATTGCAATCGATTGCAATCACTATCGTTGCTAATCGGTGGGTTGTTGATGCTCGATTGCCAATGTACATGGTTGGCAATCGATTTCCAACGAGAATAGTTTGCAATCGTTTGTAATCATGATCAATGTTAATTGGTTGGGGTGTTGATAATCGATTGCCAATTGAAGTGGTTTGCAATCGATTGCCAACGCGTATAGTTAGTATTCGAATGTAATCATGCTAAAGAATGATTGGTT